ATGGGGGTCAGAACGGGAGGGGTGGGCTGCCCATGCCCAGAACTGGCATGGAAACTTTACCCATGCTGGTGGCTGGCAACATCCAGCGCCCTGCCCCCAGCCAGCCAGTTATTGGAGCCCCGCACCAGGGCGCATTAGCTCAGTTTCCCCTCTGAACTGATCTGCCTTTTCCAGCAAGCCCATTTATTCCTCTCTGGTGGCCCTCCTGCTCGCCTCCATCACGTTCCCGCCCAGCCTGGGGCACTTCATGGCATCCAGGGTAAGTACTGGCCTAGGCCTTGGGATCCTGTGACCAATGGGGATCTAACCACAGAGTCATAGAACACGACACCTGGCAGGGTCCTCAAGAGGTCGTGGAGTCATAAGAACATAAGAACGGCCGTACTGGGTCAGACCAAAGGTCCATCTTGCCCAGTATCCTGTCTGCCGACAGTGGCCAGCACCAGGTGCTCCATCTTGATCCGCCCTCTCCACACCACTCCTGATTATATAGACCTCTATCATATCCCCCCTCAGTCTCCTCTTTTCTAAACTGAAAAGTCCCAGTCGCTTTAGCCTCTCCTCATATGGGACTGGCAGCACTAAGGACCGTCTAGATCATCCCTGACAGGTGCCTGTCCAACCTGCTCACCAGTGTCTCCAGGGCTGGAGTTCTAAATTGGAATATACATGGACAATCATTGACTCCAGGACACTCCCCTTATGTTTCGCTCAGGGGCCTTTTCTACTCTCAGAGAGATGAATAGCACCCGCCCTGGGGTCTGGCTTTACAAGCAAAGGACATTGCCCTCTTCATACTGAAGTCCAGCTCCAACCATCTCCCAGGGTTGGCTGCACCTCTGGGTTCCCTATCTCCTTAGCCCACACACTAGGTCCTCTCTGCCTCCCACCCAAGATCCCCCTGGCAGGGCAGCAGCCCTCTGAAGCCCATATCCCCCCACTCTGGTATTCCAGGCTTACTGGAGCAGGTAGGGGTAGCAGGCTGGACCAGTTGTGCACCATCACGTTACTGACCTCTGTGGAGCCAGGAGCCAGGAGAAACGGACTCTGTCTGAGCATGCGAGCCATTTTCAGCATCGCCTCCTCCTGGCTGGCAGGGCTCAGCGCCGTCTCCTCCTTTCCCAGCTCAGCATGAAGGAGCATCTCACCTCCCTCTTTGACAACCAGACGTGGGGCATTCTGTCCCAGAATGCATCGCTGGCCAGGCCTCTTCAAGTTGACCCTAAAAACCTGTGGCTTGAGTGGTGGGAGCCCCGCATTACCATCTATGGCAGCCTGGCGCTCTTCCTGGTGATGAAGGTATCGGGCCTGTGGAGGTCTCCATGAAATTAGCTGCCATGCGTCTGAGTCTACAGGCAGCTCAGTGCTCTGTGGGCGTCAGGAGCTCCCAGTCTCTTGGGTCCTTCAGGGTGAACCAAGAGCCTGCTCCCTAGGGGTGTGTCTGGACTACACGGCTCCGTCGGCAGAGCCATGGAGATGAGTTGACCAGACATAGCAAAATGAAACAGCAATTTCAATAATCGCTGCTTCATTTACATCAAAATGGCGGCCGCGCTGTGCCGATCAGCTGATTGTCGGCTCAGTGCGGTGGTCTAGACGGGGATCAGCCGGCCGCAGAACCCTTTGTCGTCAGAGCCCGTAAGCCTCGTTTCACGTGTGCGGGGAGGCGTAGCCAGCAGCTCCTGGGGTGCCTCGCTGTGTCTCCTGGCAGGGACCTGAGGGCTAAAAACCAGATCCCCCATGTCATGCTTGGCAGTCAGCTGAGAGCAGCTCAGCACATCTCCGAACCCTTTCGGGTCCCCTGGCAGAACTGTCGCCTCCGGGTGAGGTGGGTCTGGCTAGGAACCCTGACTTGCTAAGGGGCAGGTGTATGAGGAGAGCAGGGCTTGCTGCTGGGTGGAGAGCTTTGCAGATTGGTTTGGTGGCTGGGACCACTGTGGGCGAGGGAAGGGCGCGGCAGGTGCATGTGTGTGGGTGCCTTACTCGCTCCTGCTTCCTCATTTGTTAAAGTTCTGGATGCTGATCTTGGCCACCACCATGCCGATGCCTGCTGGGTACTTCATGCCGATCTTTGTGTACGGTGAGACCATTTCAGCCTGCCCTTTGTACCCCTTTCGGCACACAAGCCTGGATGGCCCATGTGTCTGCCCTTACTACCAGCCCAGCGCATAGGGGCTGACAATTGGGCCAGCCCTTTATCACTCAGCGCTAAGTGGCGGCTGCTGGGATCCCTCCACACCCAGAGCAGAAAATTCTGGGAGGGAAAAGCAGCAAGTGCTTGCAAGATCCACCCCGGCTCTTGGGAACTTTGGCTCCTGCTCCGGTGGGACACACACTCAAGTCCTGTCCCGGAGGAGCCCACTGGGGACCTGGGAAGTGGGGACTCATGTGACCTGCAGATCGGTGTGGGTGAATCCAGCTGTGACTGTGTTGCCAGGGGCTGCGATCGGGCGTTTGGTGGGAGAAGGGGTCGCCTTGCTCTTCCCCCATGGGATCCAGTCGGATGGCTCAGTTAACACCATCACTCCAGGCGGGTACGCGCTGGCTGGTGAGTCGCTAGCATGTCTCAGGCATGTCTTCCCCTCTCCTTCCCCTCCCCAATGGCAGCGGGGGAGGGGTTGTCGCACAGTGGCTCCATGGCTTGCACGGTAGCTGGGCACAAGCCCCTGGCAGAGCCACTCCCTGGGCACGAGGCTGCACCAGGAGGTTACTGCTCTTGACATTGTCCCGACAGGGGCAGCTGCTTTCTCGGGCTCGGTCACGCACACGCTCTCCACTGCCCTGCTGGCCTTTGAAATGACCGGGCAGATTGCCCACATCCTGCCTGTCACCCTGGCTGTGCTGGTGGCCAATGCCATTGCCCAGAAGTTCCAGCCCTCGTTCTACGACGGCACCATCATCGTGAAGAAGCTGCCCTACCTGCCCCGCATCAGGAGCCGGCACATCGGGTGAGCCCCGGGGAGAGGCTGGTGCAGGGCTTCCACAGGGCCAGGTAGGCAGCCAGCTGGAGCTGGAGGCGCTGGAGGCTGGCACCACGGCTGGGTGGCGAAGGCATGCCTGGCACAAAGGGCAGAGCTGAGGCAGGAGAGGGGCCCTGGTGCACCGGGGTTAACCCCAGATGAACCGCAGGGTCCCCAACTCCCATGGCCACCCTGCTCTCGGTGTGAGGTGCCTGGTTTGGGGATGGTGGCTGTCCAGAGGTCTCGGTGCAGGTCAGAGGGGAGCACTCACCCCTTTGCCCTGGCTCACCTGTGGCCCTTCCATCCCCAGCTCCTACAGTGTGACCACTCGCCAGTTCATGAACCCCCACTTTGCAGTTCTGGCCAAGGGCGCCGGCTTTGAGGAGATCCTCAGAGTTGTGACCTCTACTGACGACTTGGAGTACCCCATTGTGGAGAGCGCAGGTAGCATGCCCACACCGCACTCAGACCCCACTGGCCCTTCCCAGTCTCCGCTGTCCATCTGCATCTCCTTTCCTCCCCCACCCTTTTTCTTTCCACCCCCCGCTTTGCCCTGGAACTGGGCCCTGCTAGTCTGGCAGGGACAGAGCTCCTGGAGCAGTTCCCTTTGACGGGCATCGCTGGCCTATCTCCTTATTACTGGGGGCCCTGGGCCAGGGGCACGAGCAGCCTTATCTTGGTGGAAGAGCATCCATGGCTTAACAGAGCCCTTGGCATGGAGCAGTCTCCCTGGCCACAGCCCTTGCGGTGCCCATCAGCCTCGGCCTAGGACTGTGAAATGGTCAGTTGGTGTCAGGGATGAGCCACCTGTCCTGCCCTCCTCCCATGTCCTGTCTCCTTTCCTCCAGAGTCTCTGATTCTGGTGGGCATGGTGCAAAGAGCCACACTGGTGAGATACCTCCAGACCCATGATGAGGCCACGCCAGGGGAGAAGGAGCCAGAGGAGAAGGTAGGCTCAGAGCACTCCCCCTGCTGCCCACACTGCCCTGGGGGAGCCCCTCCAGCCAGCAGCCCTTAGCACAGAGCGAAGTCGAGAAACCAGCGTCCAGCCAGACCTGGGAGGGGCTGGTGGGATCGCTGCCACCTCAGAGCACCTTCCCTTCTCACTGCTTCAGCCCAGGGCGAGGGGGGAGGCTCTGCAGCCACATGGCTAAGCAGTATTGTACATTCCAGCGCTTCCTCCAGGGCAGCCAGGGAGCCACGGGGCAGCCCCTTTCCTCCCCAGAACCACGAGTGGCTGTGTCACAGCCTGGCCCTCCTTCAGTGGGGGAGGGCTCAGCGCTACAGGCAGCAGCATGCCCAGAGACACCAGCCCAGGCAGGGGCTGTGGAGGGCACTTCTCCCTGCCCCTAATATCTGCAGGGACCACTCCCACTGTGGAGGCTCCGCCCTATGAAGGGGGAAGCACTTTGCTGAGTCCCAGCCCTGGGCTGTCCCCCTGGGAGTGCCCTTTGAAAGCGGCACCGCTACAACAGCCTCTGCAGACCTGCCGTGCCCACGGCCCCTGTTCCCCAACAGTCTCACTCCAACGGGACGCTGGGGGACGACTGCACCATCGAGCCAATAACCCTCCAGCTGTCTCCGTGGACGTCTCTGCACCAGGTAAGGGTGTGGGAAGGGCTGTGGGGGAGACTGAGCTCACAAGAAGCCAGTCGCGGTGGCACACGCCTGTTATTCCAGCTGCGTGGGAGGCTAAGGCTGGCGGGTCACTTGCACTTAGGAGCTCTGGGCTGCAGGGGGCTGTGCCAATCAGGTGTCCGCACTAAGTTCGGCATCAATAGGGGGAATCTCTGGGAAGCTGGGAGTCCCCAGGTTACCTAAGGGGGGGTGAACCGGCCCAGGTCAGAAATGGAGCAAGTCAAAGCTCCTGTGCGGAGCCTGTGAAAAGTCCCTGCAGTGCAGCCTGGGCACAGTGAGACACAGTCTCTCGCTATGCACAGCCCTAAGAGGGATGCACACAGCTCCCCACCTAAATGGGGCCAGCAGAACCCGAGCCAGCTGCAGTGAGAAACCTGCCTGGCAGAGCTGGGGTGGCTGCGGGAAGGCCAGGCAGGTGTCCTGGCTATCGAAATACAGCCCTGGCCCTGCAGTCAAACCAAGAGCGAGGCTGCTTGCGTAGAGCCCTGGCCCCGTGAACTGAAGGGTTGTCGGTTTCGTATGCGGGTCACACGCGACGTGACCTTTAGTCCCCACGGCCATGAGTGGGATGTAAAGACCCAGCTACATGGTCGGAGGCAGAGAGGTCTGGGCAGGCTTCACCTGCTCCCCCAGCCTCACAAAGTTCTGGCTCCAGATGCATTTGTTTGGTTCCATGCAGAGGTGGAAATGAGCCGGTAACAGGGGCCAGACAGCTGCTGGAGGAGGGCAGCGCGCTCCCACCGACTCCCAGGGCTCTCCTGCAGGCTGCTGGCTAAGCAGCAGGCAGGTGAAAGGGCCAGTCTGGGGGCACGCTCCCTATCCAGGGCTGCTCCAGCTCCGAGCCCCCCTGGCATGTGCTGGAGCCTCCTCCCCAAGATTTGTACCAGAAGGACGTTGCTGGCTGTTCCCCTTCTTCACTGTCAGGGAGCGAGGGGAAAGTCCCAGTTTGCTGCTTTCTTCTCCCTGTGGCTGGGGAGGACAAGGGGCAGACAAAGCCTGTCACTTTGCTCCCGCTCCCTGACCGGGACAGGAAGGGAACAGCAAGCAGCCCTGATACAAATCTCAGGGGAAAAGCTTCAGCCCCCTGCCTCCCTACACCCCCTGCCCTGAGCCCCCCACCACCCAACTCCTGCC